ATAGGAGTCTGTGTGTCTTCATAGACTTTCATCATGTACGCCAACGCATCGCTTGTGGCGTTACCGATGGGAATAGTACCCTGTGGTGATGAATAAAACGGAAAAATGAGACGAGGAACTTGATAGCTTTAAGTTGACTAACGCGAATATCGTAACGTCATATGGTTTCAGTGTAAGCAGAAGCATAGAGTACAGTCGGTGAAAATGCAACAAGGCGAACGAACAAGATGCCTACCAGACAAAAGTGAATCATCAATCGCTGGGCTACCTGTGAAATAAGACAAAGAACAAAACGAAGCAATAAAACTGTAAAGATAACATGGAGGAACGACACTCTAGGGTGGCAGTCTTCTGTTTGAGACTCAGTACCACCTTAAGGCTAGGAGTGCCTCCACTAGGAACAAAGCCTTAAAGTTTACTTTGTACAGGATGGGCTTAGCTGTGAGATACAGTGAAATATGAGACAGAATCCGAAGGTTCAGTTCAGTTTAATTCAGTCGAACAACTATGATCCGAGCACCGAAATGCAGTGGATCCAGTTGCCACAACTCACACCGAAAGAATAACAATAAATAACAACAGTAGGAAAGTGGGTTTGGAAGCGAATAGAATGCGGAGAAAAACAGAAGGAAATGCGTTAGACAAATCACAACGGAACGAAAGTTAACAACCAGAGGTAAGAAACCGAATGCAAGAACGCCACTGACTACGTGGCTGCATCATGCCTGACACAGTCTCCAACCATTGGTGTGGACCTTCCTGAGGCCCACATCCACGAAGACAGCAGACACCAGCTTAACCGACCCTCAGTCAATTGCTTCATGCCTCTATGTCACGTCATGTACTGGTTACCCGGCGGTTTCGTCCAGCTCGGTGCGGTCACGGCGTATAATGCAGCCGAGGAAGCCGATCAACGGGCATACAGAGAACATGGCCTAGACAACGCAAGCGAGTAAGATTTAGCAGACACACGAGAGATGTACCATAAGGCCACTTGTGAAAAACCAACTAGCGAACATCCGCATTGCTCACCCGGTGTTCCCACTAGACGTGAGCAATACTCCATTGGTATTGGAGGTCAAACGCAGTCAGGCGTTTATTGTCTTCACTGCAAACTGGCCAGGTCTCTGATCCATACAGTAACACAGGCCTTATCGCAGCGTTAAATACCCTACCTTTCACTGACAGGCTGATGTCCTGCAGTCTACAAAGATAGTTGAACCTCTGAAAAACCACACGGGCCTTGCTGATACGCGAAATAACCTCTACAATGATGTGACCACGAGGGGTGACACAGCTACCAAGGTGAGTGAACCGATCCACCATTTCCAGTGGGTGTTCAGAAGTAGCTAAAACCGGTGTGTCGGTCCAGTCCTGCAATAGTACTTTGCACTTTGAAGTTCCAAAACGCAGACAGAAGCATGCAGCGCTGTGCACAAGTCTGTGCAATGGTGTTTGTATAGCCAATGCATCAGACCCAGGGAGAAGTATGTCGTCCGCATACACCAGGTTTGTCAGTCGGTCACCTCACAGAACTTCTACTCCATGATAGTCTAAAAGAACCGAATCACTCATGATCATTACGATCACAAAGTTGAAGAGCAAAGGAGATATAGGAGAACCCTGGCAAACCCCACTTGTCGTGGGGGACTCAGAAGTTTCCCGTGGACCCTTAGACGGCCTCGGGAATAATGGTAAAGACTTCAAAATGGAAAGGTTAGCTGGCACGCCCTTCATGGATAGGCAGTTCCACAAGCTGTCGCAATCCACAGAGTCAAAGGCGATTTTAAAGTAAAGGTAAAACAACATAGTCGGCAGTATGTTTGTGTCTCTGCTCTAAAACTTGGCGAATAGTACATATGTGGTCGATACAACCACGACCAGGGCGGAAGCCAGTCAGGCTGTCAGTGATTCGGTCCTCACGGGGAGTGTGAGAAGTTTTGAGGCAATGGAAATAAGGCCAATGCCTCGATGGTTGTCGCACAAAGAACGCCGACCGGTTTTGACGATAAATACGACAGTCGATAGTCGCCATACTAAAGGCATCTATTCAGAGTCCCAATCGCGCTAAATAGAAGCAAGTCCAGACAATAGTCATCACCATCTTTCAGCAAAGATGTAGGAATGTCGTCAGGTTCAGGACTCTTGCTTCGATTCAACACGGAAAGCTCATATGGAATCACTTCCAAAATAGGAAGTGTGATACTAAGTTCCCACGTAGCTCCAGGTGATTCGGGAAGCGGCTGTCACAGCAAGCCTACTGAACCGCCCCTCAAAATGTTCCGCCTAACGAGCTAGTCGACGACGCTGAGAAGGTATCAGCAGTTTGTTTTTCTCGACTATTGTCTCGCTAACTGATGGCTTTCTCGGACCGATGTTTCGAACGGGATGAAATAGCACGCGGCTGTTTCCAATAGCACTGGCTTTCTCCATTTTACAGGCCCTTGCCACCCACCAACATTCCCGGTCAACTCGAGAACACCTTGTCAGACGTCGTTTCAGGGAGTTATGGGTACGCTGAAACTCTATGCTCATCGGAACCTGTTTCCGTGTTTCGATCAAACTGATCGACGCTTTAGAGACCCATTCACAGTTACGACATCACAAGTCGGGTGCACAGCATGCGTCAAAGGCATTCTGCATGGCACACTTGAGACGATCGCAGTGAGCGTTCGGCTCAGCAACCTCATTCATCACTGACAATTGGTGGGCCAGTTCGTTATGATATTGTTGAACCGCAGATTACGAGTTCAAGTTACAGGTAAAAAGATCAGAAGGTAGGCTCTACCTTGAAGTGGGGAGGATGAGTTCCATGCGTGGGCACACTAGAGCATGTCCCAAATCAGGAAAGTGTTCCAAATTGACCGACAGTCTTGGACTGATGTGCGCAATCTATAGCTGATGGCAATATGGTCGATTTGGGTCCAGATCACTAAGGAATTCAGTGGGCGCCAGGTGACGCAGTGTGAATGTTGGTGTATGCTGAGGTACTAACGATAGTAGTCCCCTGTACATGACACCCGGGCGTTTCAACACAACATTCCTTACGCTGTTCAGCGCTCATGCGAGCCTATGTTCGGGAGCTGTGATGGGTTTCAAAACAGAACGTATTTCTCGCATACTGATCGCGCGTGGCGATAGAGATGCCACTTGTGCTAAAAACGGCACGTCCACTTAATCAAAAACACTAGTACTGCCATGACCAGAGTTAACACGCAACAACGCAATAGGCCGGGATTTTAACAAATTAGATCCAGTGGGAAGAAATGTTATGGTGACGTTGTTTTGTATAGAGAATGGCGCAGGTCTGAGAGGCATGCATAGTTAGTGAACTGGTGTGAGGGGTTTTGTGAAGGTTGGTCGAAGTTAAAGCCAGTTAGATGGCTAGCACATAAAGAAAAACCCAGAACGGAGGGCTAGTCCGCCGAACCCACGACTTGTCTCTTACAAGTTAGCGACTTGAACTACTGTGAGGTGGGTGTTTGTGGCAGATCGCCACGACTGATTACTAGCTGCGAAATAGCGCAGCGCAACCTCCGATACTAAGCATGTTATGAAAGTACAAGCAGGCAAATTGTCCCCCAGAGTTTCAAATTCCCTCGCAAGCTGCCACCAATCGAGGTGGCTGCTTGGGAGACTACTGATGGCGTTTTGGACACTTTAAAGTTGCACACTGTAAGCATTGCACGAATTGTTGAAGTTCGAAACTGCGATTGCACTATATTTAGCCAAACTCTGAGAATGAAACGTCGAACGACATTAAACGGTGCAGGCTTCTGATAGATATGGTCAGCGCATGGAAAGCATTCAAACATAAATTAAGATTTCGACCAAGAAAGCGTGCTACAAGATGATAATATGGGGGAAAGTCCGAGACAATAGCCCCATGCATAAGCAATGGTCAAGGTGTATCCAACCTCCGAGCGTGCATACAAGGCCTCAAGTTACGGAATATCATACTGTATCCAGGAGAAATCTTTGAAGCCAGGGAAGTAATAGAAAAAAGAGAACGGAGCTTTTGCTGTGCATCGAAGTAGAATGAAAGATCTTCAAGAAACGGCCTCCTAATAGCATTTAAGTACGAAAGTAAACTGAAGAATTCAAAACGATGCAGGCAAACTGAGCATTGACTAAAGGGTTCAATAAATGTCATTCATCAAAATAAACAAATAACTCAAACTACCCATCAGAAATACCAGAGGAAATCGCACTAGCGAAATCGAATAAAGAGATAGTGACGCGTCAAACACTTACCGGATCTGTTGCAAATGCCATGAAGTGAGATACCACGGACAAAACCGTAAACAAGTGGTAAAGAGAGCCAGTAAACCAACAAAAAATGGGAGATGGAGCCTGGACGAGGATCACTCCAGAAATGACAAACTCAGCGTACAAAATAAGGAACCATGTGATGAAAAGGCATACAATTCCGCACGGGTCCCTCACAAACCAGATGATTCCGAAGGGCTGGTGATAAAAGCGAGTTCCATCGAGGAAATATTTTCGATTGATTAATTTCCGAACGGTAGGTGAACTGCGACAAAAGGATATGAAGTCGCAATAATTGGCCGCCGGGTTGGCAGTGGTTCGAAGCCGAACTGCTGCATCGTCGTCCCAACTGGACGTGTCCACTTCTCGACCCCGACGATGATATGATGAAGCCGAAGTTTCCGTATTTATAGGTACTCTGATGGATTCCATTGGATGAGTTGATGGATAACTGGGTTGGCGGGGATAATCAACATCGGGGAACGGACTCAGAAATAAAGTGTCTTGAACTAAAGGGTAATTATCCTTTGTGAAGGCATCCCGCATAACGGAGGGGAAATGATAGAGAGCTAAGAGGAATAAAGTATTGAGGTGACCTTCAGTTTCGAGTCCATTGCAGAGAACTACGAATCTTATGTTTGACAACAGCGTAGAGGCTAAGAAAAAATATGAGCAATGTGACGCCAACCCTCAGACTATTTCAGTTTTGGTAGCGTTTACCCAAATTTCAGAGACCTCACTGACCAACAAGTTCATGCCAGAGAAGGCGGGGAACCTCAGTTCATCCGTTTATTTGGAGCCCTCAGTCCTCCCTAAAACTTGAATGCCCCAACGTGTACATTCAATTGAAGATCGGTCAGAAGGCAGCAGTCGCCGAACATTAGCGACCTTATCGATTGAAGTCTGCCGCTTAACGAAAACCCGCCTGTAAGACTCGAGCACAGCACCCATTCTAAGATTCCCTTGAGGTGACACCTGTGGTAGTCTATCGCTGCGTCTGTTCAGATATAAAACAGCTGCAAATGTCGATCAAGCTAGTGTGAGCACTGCTCTGCGCACGTGGGCTAAAGCTGTCCCAATCGAACAGATCCAATCAGTATCCGGATGTGTCGTCAGATTGGCTGGCTCATTCGAAGTTTCGAAGTCGTGCAGGAACAAGAGTTATCCGCTTGTCAACACTAGATGCGCCTCCGCAAACTGCGGCGCCGACTATGTGGAAATTGATCTATCGTCCAAGGAATGAACCCCTTCGCCATAGTAGGCCTGCAGACACTGGTGCTGGTCTGTGATCTGAAAGTGCAAGTTGGAATATCGTCCAATGGCGAACCAAGTCTGAGAAGCAAATACGGTGTAGGCTTTGAAAATAATAGCAGCGAGCGGCTGCAACATTTGTGGAAAGATGATCGCCTATTTCTAGTGATTACTTACTTCCGAGACAGCACCCGCAGAAGGGTTGCATGGCGCCATGGACGCAAACCGATCACATCGTGATCAGTTTATGCTAGAGGATTTGAAGACGAAGTTGTCGCCCGAATTGGAACACAGGCGTGGACTCTGACTAAACATTCAACAAAAATCAAATCAACAAAAGCAGTACATCAGCCACTTGAGCTGATGTTTTGCTGCCATACAACCATGACGACATATGAAATAAAGAATAAGAAGAGGGAGAGAAGGGGGACTTACCTGAAAACCTTAATGCCCTAAGCAAACATACAGGGTCAAGGCGCCCACCCATTGTGTAGACAACATACCGCCACAAACAGCTGGCTATCGTGCAAAGATAAGGCGGCATCAGCGAGACAGCTTCCTTGGGGCTTTTACTGCCACGCGTCATAATCAGCCGTTACCCCGCAGATAACTCAGCATCAAAAACACTAAAAACAGGCCATCCGATTAGGAGACGGCAGCAGACGCGCCACTGGTGTCGGTTGCGAGCCATGTCCTGCAATGTCTCGAGCTAATTACAAGGCGAGTCACGTGGACTCCAACCCAGAAGACGAGACGGACCAACTGCACCCAGTTTGGTCGTCAGTAAATTCATTTCCCGCTGCCAAGTCAACTTCTGTCCGCCTCGAGCCTTGTGCCACCATACACCTGGCAGACCAAACAAGGCCCTCCTAGGTAAGCAATGGACAAACATACATAGTACGTGCCCTAACCAACCCAACTTATTCAGTGCTATTAGTTGTTCTAGGGAGCTAGCATGTTTATCACTACCTAGTACTCGCCTACGCACATCATCGTTGCGGACACGCTGGTGTCGGATGACACCAGCAATGCTTCGCAGACAACGATGATCAAAGACTTGAAGGCGCCTCAGATCTTCAGACCGAAGGGGCCAAGTCTCACCACCATAGAGCAGAGCGGCCCTCACTGTGGCCTTGTATACACGGCCTTTCAGACGGAGGGAAACTCCCTTCTGTCGCCAAAGATGCCGCAGATTCAAGAAGACAGCTCTGGCCTTTGCAATGCTTGAGCTGACGTCAGTTGCTATACGCCCATCATTGCTGAGATAATAATAATAATAATAATAATAATAATAATGTGCCAACTGTACGCCGTAACGGCGCTTCATTGCCGCGCGAGCACCACCAGTCGCGCGCGGGCTGAGTATACCGCGAGGACGCCCACCCCTACACGGATTCGAACCGGTGATATGTATAATGATGATGATGATGGTGACCTTATGGTTGCAAACCAAACGCGCAGACCACTTGGCCACCGGCCGACATCAATGCTGATGCAGCTGCCAAGATAAGTGAATTGATGAACCACCTCGAGTTCCTCGTCAGCAAGTCAAGGGGTCATCAAGTGGCTGGTGGTCTTCCAGCAACACTTTGAACTTTGAAGGTGCGAAGTGCATACCAAATCATGGGACCACTCTGGACAGGCTACTCAGGGTTGACTGTGCCGCCGCAAAATCATCGAAAAGCAAGACGATATCGTCCGCATTATCTAGATCAACTAGTCTTTCACCAGGCAGCACTTCAACGCCTACATCGTGACATTCCTTATGAGAACACTCCATGATAGAATCCACGATGAGATTGAACAACTCTGACGAACACCACTTGTGATTGGAAAGCTATCCGATAGGACACCGTAGACCCTGACGCGGCCTCTAGTGTTCGAGTATAGAGCACGAAGGATGTTCACATATTTCGCGGGAACACCTTTCCGCGAAATTATGTCGAACAGAAGCAATCGATCGACTGGATTGAACGCACGGCTGAAATCGAGGAACACAGCTATTGTCGATCTGCGGTATGCGTGGCGCTGCCCTAGCAACTGCTGCAAAAGTGAATATATGGTCTATACAGCCACGTCCTGGGCGGAAACCGGCCTGCTCTTCCCTAATCCGAGATTCCCGTTCCACAGTGAGGCGACGAACGATAATCGAGGCCGGTAAGTTTGTCACAACTAGCGTTAGACTAATACCCTGTGGTTAGAACAGTCTGTGCGACTGTCCTTATTGTATACTGCCACTATAATCGATCCGCTCCAATCAGCCGGGACACTTCCTTCCAGATAGGTTCGAACAGGGAGGTCAATGCTTTGCAGAGGACCTCATCTCCATCCTTAAATAGTGCATGTGGGAGGGAATCCGTGCCAGCGGCACGAAAACGATTGAGGGCTGTGATCGCGTTTCGGACCTCGGCCTCCGACGGAGGCTCTCAACTAACCGTCCATGGCTCGTCCTGCATCAGCTGAGTAAAAAGAGGTCCGGGAACAGGGAGCCAGCTGAAGTGATCTTGAAAGTGTTCCACACAACAAGCCATAGGACGCCACAGGACACCCGCGATGTTTCTGATTGTCTCACTGACGCCTGGTTTCCTGGGATCAGTGGTGCGGAGGAGCTTGCGGTAATTGCCTACTGCTCCTGCCTCCTCTATTTCTTGAGCCCTAGTAGTCCACCAGGCTTCCTTGTTAGCACGTAGGTTGCGCTTTAGTTCGCGCCTAATAACCCTTCTGGTCACATTGTGTTCAGAGCCAGATCACTAAAACACTTATGGAGAATGGCTGCCCAAAGCGATTCACAGACAAACATAGCCAAGTTAGACCGCCCAAGGAGATGGTGTTGATAGCCCCTAAGAAAAAGGTGTTCATCGAGCTACCATTCAAGGGTGACACTGCAGCAAGAAGGATAACCAAACGCATTGTCGCGGCCATTTAGCGTACATACTGTGCTGCGGAGCCGGTAATCATCAACAGAACCCAAAAGTTGCCGTTACCTTCAGTAAAGGAAGATGAATCCGTCGGCGCCAAATCACATTGTGTCTACCAATTCGTGTGTGACTGCGGTATCAGTTACATCGGCAGGACCGAACGGGCTTTAGATTCCAGAGTGAAGGAGCACTTACCAAACTGGGTTCAGCGCGAAGTCACTCAATCCACCTCCGATGATACGTGCTCGCGTAAGCCGCCAGCGTCCTCCATAGGCAGACACATTTTGGCGACACGTCACCAGGTAAATCCCTTATGGGCGTTCCGGATCTTGTTACGTCATACTAATGCACGCTTTTTACGATTTGTCGAGGCCGTCGCGATAAGCCGAATTAGACCAGCTTTGTGTGTCCAAAAGCAATTAGTTGTCAACCTGCGGTTGCCGTGGCCCTAATCCCAACAGCAATGACTACAACCATAAATTTGATTGGCTTGACTGTGCCTTGTAAGATAAATAAAAGGATTTCCCTGTTATTGTATTGGTACTGACGAGATAATACGAAATGCTAGCATCTGCCAATATTCGTCTTCTCATTTCGTTGTTCAAATTTATCAGTTGCCAATCGGAGGAGACGTTTGGCGCCTCCCAGTAAAGTTCATGGAGAAACAACAGCGCACCAAGGCATGATCAGAGTCGACGCAGGTGCACCGGTATAGAGCGACAATCCAGGATGGGACCAAGCCACCTATAACTTATGGCTATGTGGTCAATTTGGGTCCATCGCTGGCCAGCTACAGGAGGACGCCAAGTGGCACTTCGGCGCCCACTGTGTCTAAAAGCAGTGCTACTAAGAAACAACTGGTGCTCCGCACACAGTTGCAACAGACGCTCACCGTTGTAAGTCCGTTCGGAGTGAAGCCCATAATTACCACCCAACTGAGCTTCTGAAGAGCTCAGACGCCCTACTTGTGCGTTCATATCCCCTGCAAGTACTATAATATCTGAACTAGTAGCACTGCGTAGTAGCGCGTACAGTTCGTCTTTGATTGTGTCCTGGACAGCATCTGGACTGCAGTTGCTGGGAGCATAAGCGGAAATCACAAACAAACAGCATTTTGTACTACTTTGTGAATCCACTTTAGTTGATGTCGTCAAACGGGCTGCACATAAACGGCTGTTCACCGGAATCCAATCAACCACCGATGGCTCAGCCTTGGAGCTTAGAATGATACCTACACCCGTTTGACCCGTAATTGCTGCATCGGCGTCTCCGGATGCGCGCAACCAATAACGAGAGGATAAGTCGGGTGCAGTTAATTCAATAACCCCATTAGGGTCATTGATCCTAGTTTCGGGCACACAACACACATCAATACCC